TGCATTACAATTTTATCTACAAATTTAAAATTCGTAGATAAGTTGGCACAAAGAAAATACGAAGTAGTGATTTCATGCAATCGCAGTGCATACAATTTAGCATAGCATTTATTGGAATAAGTGAAAGATTCGATTCTAAGGTTGATTTATACTGTACAATGAAAGAATATTCTCGAACTACGAAAGATAAATCGGTGATTTATTTCGAGAGCAGGGAAGATTCCGCGGTCATTAATATCCTATAAATATTCTCTTTCTTCGCAAGACATAAATAAAGGAAATGTCATGTTGCAGGGCACCATCGTATCCATCATGATTTCTCGGATAGCACATAGATACAAAGAAAAATGAGTTTACGTAACTTTGCATCTTTTTTTCATCGCTGTAAGTTGGTGGTATGCGCGTGCCCATCAAGGCTTGCGCCAGCTTCTGGATTAATTGAGGCCAGCGTGTTTTTGGTGTTGAACTTTATCTCGGATCTTGACAAGTAACCCGGTAAAACAGTTTTCGATGGAAAAGAATTAGTTCGAAGAGCCCGCGGTGGAGCTTAAAGACAGTCTTATGTGTTACGTTGCCGCTGCCGCTCTCAATGATGCGAATTTGGCTCCTCAGTCCTTCTTGAATTTTTGATGCTTGTATCCTTTTAACCTTTCGAATGAACATTTGTTTTTTGGGCCTTTTTCTTCCGAGCAGCCAGCATATCGTAGAACGGATTATGTGATATGCTTTGCCTGTGAATAATAAACACCATTTTTATTGTATTGTTTTTAAAATACCTGTGATACTCGAGTCATTTTTCCTTAAAAGTGTTAGAATTATGTATGGACAAAGTAGTAATGAAATCATACGATACCATTTTCGTAAAAGTAAATTTCAAAAGAAAATCTAGAGTCGTACAAATTATTACTGGTATTTAACTGCAAGACTTCGAGAGGAAAAGAAAAAAAATTACAGATACTTATTAATTCCAATGACTAAAATTTTGTATTCTGTTTGAGTATATTTCTATATTAATAACATAACTTGAGAATTGTTTTTTTTTTAATTTCATTGTTAATGTGACATTGGTTACAAAGCCAATAATTCATGCCCAATGCAGTTGTTTTTTAAATAGTTAAAGACAACATTTATAATTGAAAAATATGTAAAATATAATATTCAAGAAAAGTTTACCCACTTGATTGCTTAACTAATTTCATAAGTAAGTCTAATCAAATTAATTTTTTTATAAACATTTTTTTAAAAAATAATAAAAATTATAAATAAATTATAGCACGTTTTACTTTACATTTCAAATTATGTACTTTAATAATTTATAATTATTTTTAAATTTGTAATAGTGAATTTTAACAATTATTGGTACAACGTTAAATTAATTTGAAAATATGCATAATCTTAATAAAGTACTTACCGCACGCATTTTATCCATTCATCTTTTTCTTCATTTGTTGCTGCAGACATTCTGTAGACTGTATGTTTACCTAAAAGAAATGTAATATAACAAAATTTATGTACAATATTTAATGAATTATATCGGAAAGTGTGACGATTGCAAAAAAAATAGAAAGATTGATTCCGTAAAAAATATATGGATTTATATTTTACCTTTGATAAAAAAATATACGCAAATTAAATAAATAATCAGTTTAAATTTCTTGTATTATTTTAGTAGTACTGACGTTAAGTACAATTACAATTTGTAAGAATTATGTAACAGAAATATTTGCTTAAGATAAATCATGAGCGTCTAGAAAATGTTGGAAAATTTGATTTAAAATCTAAATACAGTAAGCTGCAAAATACAGTAACTCATAGGCTATTTAATGAGCAGAATCAATGAATGAAATATAAGCCATCATGAAATGAACATTTTAGGTGGTGAAAAAATTAATTGAAAGCCTATGCGACTAAAATAATCTAAAATGGCATATTGTAAGTATTGGCAAATTACCTTCGACGACTTTTCCTTCGCTATCTGTTTTGCAGGCTTTGATGAACTCAGAACCGGCAGCATAAAGCTCAAAGCAGTGGGGTTTATTTCTATCTTGGACCTCCCTGACTTGGATATTCTCTAGTGGAATGATGCCGCGTGGCTCCTTATCAGTAGTATATTCAAAGTAATAGAGGCAATTATCATTTAGAATGAACCAACGCCGCTTCCAACTTTTGTAGCGTCCACCTGTAGTTCGTTTATTATGTGAAGAAACAAAAAGCGAATGAACTTTAGCGATCGAAGAACCTCTTATGTATGTTAAGAAGTGGCTTCACTATATGGGCCTCTTATATATTAGTTACCTGCTGTCTCCGTCAGATCAGCAGTTGGTACAAAGCGGCATAGAATAAGAATAGAAACATGGTTTTAATACACATTCGCTACCAGAGAGAATTAGAATGAGAAAATTAAAATTGATAGAGAGAGAGAGAGGAAGAGAGAGAGAGAAAGAGAGAGAGAGAGAGAGTGAGTGAGAAAAAGAAACGGCATGTGTGAGAGTGATGGATATGCTACTTTCGGATACAAAGAGGTGCAAGACAATATGCAGTTATTTAAACATGCCGGAATATGGTGCATAAATAAGTTGAGAAAATAGTTTTAAGTTAACCTAAATTTCGCTCATACTGCTGGTGTATGAAAATTCTTGGGGACAAACTTGTATTTTTTTTTCTTTTTATGAAGTATTAGCTTCTATATCCACAGTAGATACCATCGAATAATCGATCATTCACAAATATAATAATATAATTTCTTTACCTTTCACATTTATTTAACATTTATTTTTCATATTGTTCTATGAACCAATTTTTTTCAAGTCAAAGACAAATTTTTAAAAGTATTTTTCGGTAAAAAAAGCAATTAGATTAAAATTATTGCTTATAACGAACATTTTTTTGGAATACTTACATTACATTAAAAATGTTCATACTTTACTTAAGTTAAAAATTCAATAATCATTTAGAAGTATTATTATAAGGATTTTATTATTTTTTCCATTGAAATATTAACAATATTTTAATAGAAATAATTGCAGTGTATCTGTATAAATAATTGAAATTTAATGTATGTTAGAGGTTAAAACTAAGTATGATTCTAAAAACTAATGTTAGTTACGAAGATTACTAATGACAAACTTTGAAATACTTTGATTTCCATCATGACAAGATTACAAGATGTAGGCTTTATATTGAAGATAATGTTTGAAAATTATATGTTTTAATAATGAAAGAAATAAAGTATTAAAAATGACTTTGAAACTATATAAAATATTAATGTAAAATGATGATTAATGCAAATTGACTATAATTAAAATTTTATTTAGTGGAACTGCAAGGTTTCTTAAAAAATAATCAAATAATTTTCGATGTTCGATATAGTATATAACAAATTTGGTAACATTTATAAACAAGCATAACCACTTTAAGCTTTAAAATCTGGATTTCTTTCATAAATATTAATTATAGAATTTTCTTACTTTCATTTATCCGGATGTAGAAATTTGTTTTTAAAATATTAATCTTAATGACAAAATACAGAGAATATTTGGAAAAAATCTAATAAAACCAATTCAACAATTGATATTGCATCGACTACCATAAATTAATATCAATGTTTTTTTTTATAATTACATATATTACATATTTCGAAAAATATACACACTATGTTTCAAAATTCATTCGCCAATAGAAAATGCACGATTGTTGTATAATTATTAAGAAAAGTTATTAAAACGTAGTAAAAGAGAAAAATTTGATGAGATTTTTTTACAAAATATTTTATTACCTTGCTTCCAGAGCCATCCTTCTTTATCAGGATTGAAGAAGGTGTGCATTAGATCATTGCCGTCGTCTTCCGGTATTTTAAAGGGTTCCGTCTTAATGCTCTCGTAAAGACTCTGAAACGAATAAAACATATAACATGTAGTGTGATAAATATGATATTTTAAATACTTTCATATAAGACAATACAGGTTAAAACCATGAGATTAAATTAAACAGGCGATAGTAAAATAAAAAAATATTTTGTAGGCATGTAAAAATAACGAATTTAAAATTCTGTAAACAAAATATAATATGCTTATTTCCATCACTGTTCAAGTACGACAATAAAAAACTCATTAAATTACCATATATTATGTACATCAAAACATCCTATTTTTATTATTTACCTGAATGTAATATTTTCTTGCGTAGGTTTTCATACTACAGTATAGATTATAATATTTTTAAAAAGATCATAACATCATGTTTCGATATATATTTTGTAAATATGACGATATTTGCCACTGAATCAATTAAAACAATATAAAATCAATTTTAAAAAATTCTTTGCATATTAGGATGAAATATATTATTATCTCGTTTGTAATAACGGAAATCCGTTCAATATAATTAAACATTAAATTACAATGCATGACATTAATAAAAATGGCAATGGCAATGACACCATTACTACCGAGAAATTAGTTCTAAAATTACTTTATTCTTTATATTATATTTGTATTATAAATGTTTTAAAATTTAAAACTATTTGGACTTATTCAAAAATATTGTGTTGAACCTAATCCATATAAATAGTTTTGGTCTTCTTGATTATGCTTTTCATTTTAATAGATGTCAAGGCTTCATTAAAAAGAGCCCATTAAAAAAAAAAATTTCAAAACATAATTTGATCTACATTTATATTCTTATATCGTTTGTAAAATAAACTCTCTATCGTCTATAAGTATTTACGTATTTATTTATACATTAAAATGACATTGATTGTAAACTTCTAATTTTAAAGTTAATAATCATATTTTTTCCATTTTTATGCAATTTATGTTTTCTAATTAATAAAGATGATTTTAATGTTATTAAGGTAATTAAATTATTCCATAAAATTTGAAAATGCTATTACAATTTAACAGACATAAATGATGAGATACAGAAAAAAATTAATGGATACATTATTTGGTGATGTATAAGAAAATATATTAACAAAATATGTATATTTAACTTTCTGAGTATCATTCATTAAAAATGATATCATTGTACAATAATGTATTAAAATTTTGTTATTAATTATCCGTATTATAAAATCTTATGCCTATGCCGAACCTTACAATGGTACAATTATTAATTTTTTTTATTCGTTTCAAAAACTTCCCTTTTTTTTTTTTTTTTTTTTTGGTTATTAGCCAATATATTTATAATTTTATATTTAATTTTATTTTTCTTATTTTAAAACAAAGACTCTTGAATTAACATATTAGAAATCAGTCGGGATGATATAAAAAGTTTTTTTTTTTAATTAATTAATTATTTAAATTAATATAAAAATTATAACTATAATAAACGATCTTTATTTATAATCTTTTAAAATCTCATAAAATTTTAATTGAATTTTTGGCTAAATATATATTCAATTTATATTAACAGACAATTGTCCGTTTAAATCGATAGCCGTTGAGAATTAAGCAATTTTATTATCCATAAAGGATAATGATTAAAGTCACATTGAAAACCTAAACGTAATTGTATAGGCGTTATCAAATTTATTTATTGATTTTCGGTCATATGCTTAAAAACAACTAGATGTAGTTGTTCATTCAATTGGCTAATCGAGGTAAGCAAAAGTGGATTGCAAGAAAAGTCGAAATTCATTGCATCTTAATGTAGTAGATACATGCTATAGATAATCAATATATTATAATCAACATATCGCATATATATGTATATAAAATCAAGACCTGCTAGTATATGCATGAAGAGATTCTACATAACGTCAATGTGAGAAAAATACGATAAATCTCGGGACATTCGTGAGCGCCTAATTTGACGTCGCCCGCTCGTGTATGCCTAAGACGACTTGTGACATTTTTTTTTTTTATGCGTTTATTATCTTCACTGTTTTTGCACGTACGTCTGTTCTTATATTTTCACGCCCTATAGTTCTGCCGCGTATGTAATTCTCACAAAGTTTAAAGACTTCTTAATTATTCATGATAAGAATTAGCGCTTACAGCCAAACGAGACGCAGCGATCGTTTAAATTGCATTTGAGATCACTATACATTCACGTGCTTTTCTTGCAGTTATCTAGAGCTTTGTATTTGTGTCGAGATTGTGAAATAAAAGACGGATAGTGTAACTGAAGCTAAGGTGCAGTGAGAGAGAGAGAGAGAGAGAGAGAGAGAGAGAGAGAGAGCAAGGGAGTACGAATTTGAGGACTCACCACGAGCAGTTCCCTTGGAAGATCGCCACCATTGTTGATGCCACGATTCATATTGATAAACTGATCGACACTGGGCTTGTCCTTGACGCTTGGGTTATGAAGAGAAGTATTGAGCATGATGATGGCGAAGCTGAGGACGTAGCAGGTATCGGTGTTGGTAAATATATTGGTGTTAAGCTGGCAGTACCTCTGGGCGAAGCACTCCATCATGCGATCGATCTTTTGAGCCTCGCCGGGCAGTCGGAACGACCAAAGGAACTGTCGGAGCGCCTGCACGAGGATCAGATCCGTGAAGTCGTGGAGCTCGACGAAAGCGCGAAGGACGCGTTCGTTGAAGTCGTGGCGTTCGCCGAGGTAGTCGCCTATCGCAGTTTTGTTGAGACCCTCGCCCTTGTAAAGGAATTGGGCTACGTCATCCGGACTCGCAGTTAGGAGGCCATGTTCAATAAGGTACTCGATCCCCTTCTTTGGGTCCATATTGAATTTCTTACGGCCGATTGACGTCTGCTTGGCTTTGTTGGATGGCTTGGAGTCATCGGCAGCGAGACCGCCGCCCTCCATAGCCTCCATTTCAGCCACCACCTCGCCCAGCTCATCCTTAAGTTGCTACGTGCACAAAACAATAGGATTACATTTGTATTTGCATCATCCATTATGTTTATTTACGTTCCTTCAATTTATTCGATGTATTTAGGTTATGCTCGCTTTATTTTGAATTATTAATTTTATGTGTATCTAGCTTTTAATATTTGTCACGCTTTTCTCTTTTCACCTTTACCTTTATGTTTTTTTTATTAATGGATGTTAAACACCAGAATATATATTTCATTATATTATCAATTTCTATTGTTATAATTGTCATGCCATATATACTACGGTTTATGTTATCGATAAATTTATTCAATTTTTTATTTACAGAGTTAATATGAAATTTATATCCTAAGTCAATCACTGAAACGTGTTTTTATTATACTTTATAAATATTGTGAGCTAGTGAAATTTTATAAATTATATGCGAAAAATTTCAAATTAACGATTAAAGTAAAAGATATGTATTTTTATATATTTACAGTATTTTAGCAATATTAAATATAATATAACGGGAATAGATGTAGGTAGTTGATAAAAATAATTTCTATACACATATGTATAATTTCTTTTATTTCAGCTTTACAAATAATAAGTTTCAATGAAAATTTTTTAATCGTGGGACAATATTCTTTTTTCTTCTACATAGTTTGATAAATAATATAATATTGATTTATAAGATGTTAATTTTAATTAGTATTATGTATTTACGTAATATTAACTTTAATTAGTAAGTTTGAGGAAGCTTATAGCGTGACTGTTATATATAGTGACAATAAATATTATTCATTATTCAAGTGTAACTCAATCTCAAAATACTAGAAAATATTAATATTTAACATTGAAATTTTCACTAATGAGTTGGATAAACTTTTTGTTTTTCTCGTAAAATTAAAATTACTTTCATAGAACTAACTAATTTTCAAACTCTTATTATTAAGATTCAAACTCTAGTATTCTTAAAAATGTTCGTTAATATAATTCCATTATCCTATAAAATCGTAATAATTAATCATATGTTATTTCTTTTTAAAGTAACATATACTGAAAGTAATTATGATATTACTTACACCTTGTCAAAATTCAAATAAAATTCTTCAAATTCACCTACAATAAAGGAAAATATTTTTCAAATTTTTAATCAAATAGATAAGTTTTTTTTATATATATGTAAATTATCACCAATGCATATATTAAAATAAAGAAGTCATTGTCACAAAATATAAAAATGCGCTTAGTTTGTAAGTCAAGAGGGATTCGATAGTTCTTATTGAACAAGAGTGGTGATCAGCATGGATGACGAAACAATTGGTACGACCTTAAAGTTCAAACGTTCAGTGGTTCTTCAGCTTTAATTAAGGCACGTCGGAAACCCTATTAAAATTCAGATTAATTCGGCCGTATTTAAGTACAGGCCGTTCATAGCAGATTATGTATGTACAGGAATGACTTATAATTCAGTAAAGCTTTTGTTATTCTGTCGATAACTGTTTCATACTTGCTAAATCGGAACTCACTATATTTAAATAGGATATCCTATTTTTAGGTGAAATTTTAAAAGCCTATTTATTAAAAAATAATAAGAAAATCATTCCTTTTGTAGCATATTTTTAGATAACCTTTTTATATCAATGATTTCATAGTGATATTGCGCATTGATAATTAATGACAAATAAAAGTTAAGTAAATATATTATATTATATTTTAAGCGTTTAATTTGTAAAATAATTGTAAATGAATAAATTGATATGATGTCAAATGGCAATAAACTATATTTATTAGGGGAAATCCTGTTTTCAAAAGATTTACTTATATACAACGGTACTTATATAAAACGTGTGTTTCGATACAAAACAAAAATTTAATTTTAAAAATTTTTCTTCGAAATTATTTGAGATTTAAAAATCCTAGAGTTTAAAATCATCTCATATCAATAGATTTTTCATTTTTTATTAAAATATAATTATTATTACATTTTCTTTTCATTTATATATGTAATCTACTAAAATAGCAATTACTTAAATTGCTTTAATATTTGCGTAATTGTACTATCAAAGATAAGATCGAGTAGATGTAATTAGAACAAGCAATTTTTTAAATAAAGTAGCCATAACTCTAATTTAATAGTTAAAACAATAATACGTAAGATGAATTTCTGACAAAGAAGACCATATACCAATACCTAATAAATGTATAAATATATTATCTATATATAATATTCGATTATTTCATATTTGCCTTATGCTCTACATAAGAAATTTTAGTAGTTACATTTTATTCGTTTTAATTACAGAAATACATTAGTGTGAGAAAAAAAATAGTGTCTTACAGCAAAAATAGGTAGCTACGGTCTTATAACGAATTAAGATATGATCAATTAAAATGAAACATGTACATATGTGTATATCATATGCTAGACACAGTTATTAATAAAATAAAAAGACCTTTATACATGGCAAGGCTTATATTTTTTACTTTTTTTATTCGCTTGATCATTATAAAAGTCTCGGAAGGTTGATGTTCTCAACCGACATCAAACTACAATATTACATTAATACATTTGAAAGAATTAAAAGCGAAGAAATGGAACTCTACTGGCTGTATAAATTCGGCAGTTATGACGTCACGTACTCTCGGAACATCTCTCATAGGAGACACGTGGATACGGGCTTTCCTCTTTGGTCTGTGGGAAGAGTGCGAGGCTCGCAGCATCATCACGTCGCGCGTTTATTAAGCCGAGCGTCGCAAGGAAACGCGCAGTTTATTTCGAAACGGATGTTCGGTACCAGCGAATTATGGTTTTAGCTTTGGCAACGCGGACCTACAATCGACAACTTTTTCGAGCTCGATGATAGAATCCACACGGTTGGGACACGCGGCGAGTGGATAACCTTCAAATTAAAAATTTATCTAACTGACGCCAGACTAACTACTCATATTTCTTCTTTGTACCACTCTCTCTTGTTTAACCAATATATCGCATACATTGTGCATTTATGTACGTGCAAATAACTCAGCGATGAAAGTTACTACCAGAAAGTGCATATCTAGTGTAAGCTTATAAGCTCCTTAGTCGTTATCGTTAAAGTTTTGATATAAATTTTAAGATTTATTATTGAAAACGGGCCAAGAATGACTATTTTTCCTGAAAGCTCATTTGAAAAAAAGAAACTATAAATATTCATCCATCATATAATGACGATAGGCTTATCCATAAAGCAACACATATCACGTATATAAATTTAATCAATTGTACTTTTATACGTCATTTAACATTAAATCTTAATTTTTTAACTAAGTAGAAAAATATCGTTTGAAACTCTTTGGTGGTCATATAAAATATACAAATATACAAATAAAAATACGACATTGTACATTAAAACTGAATATTCTATTAAAAATTGCATTTGCAATTATTACAAATTTGATTTTTAATTATCTTATAATATGATTATCGTACCATGAGTAATATGCAAATATTATTGGAAATATTTAATACGGAAAAAGGGTAAATATATATAAAACTATTTTTTATTTTTTATTATTTTTCATTAACTCGATATTTTTAATCATAAAAATGATTTCTAGGTTTCAATTACATACGTATTTAATAATTAATATACTTATATAACAGTATCTTTAAAATTTTGACTAGCTACGTATAAAATTAAAATTGAGTCTTTTATTTTTATATTTTTATATAAGAAATATAATAAAAGATAATTTAAGTTTTCTTTATAATGTAAGTAATAATCATTTATAGCTTCAATAGTGTCTTCTGTAGTAGTGACATTCGTTGAAATGATCGAAATAGAACCATTTATAACTTACATTCGCTGCAAAATTTTCTCAGATTTCTCTGCAAAAGATCTCAGAAAAAATGTAAATCCAAAATTCAGGTTCATAAAACATTATATTCATGAATTATAAGATTTTAGTTAAAAGTAAATCAATAAATTTACAACTCGTTAAATATTACAATTTTTATAAATTGTTAATATTTATAGAATTAAATAAAAGTATATACACTATATGTTAATATTTAATATTGCATATGAACGAAATATTTTTTATAAGTTAACATTAATAAACTTTCTGCCAACAGAAAGTTACTGACAATAATTTACACAGAGTTGATAGGTATAAATTGATATATCAATATTATAACATACTTTCGTATTTCATATAGAATTTATATATTTATAATAAGTATTCCTTAACATCACTTATTTAGTATTATTATTAAGTAAAGACGTGTACTTAGTATAATAAGTAATAATATTATATAATAAGAAAATGAAAAAAGATAAGAAATAAATCATCGCGTGGTTGCAGCCTAAGGAACAAGATATAATGTTTTATTAACAATTTTACTTCATTAACAATCAGAAAAGAGTGAAATAAAAAACCATAATTAATAGAAAATAATATACATATTTCTACTTCGTTGCTTTTATGTAATTTTCTTTATTTCATCTGTTTTATATGTACACCTAGAAAGAAGCTAATTAATGACTTTAAATTCTTCACAGATGACATTCATATATTTTTAAATCTTGAAAATTCTTATATTATGCGTACATATTACTTCTTATGAGAATTTAACTATAATTTTTGTACGTATAAATATTAAGTATTGCTTGTGCCTTCATTTGATACGTAAATTTTAAAACGATAGGTTTCTATAATAAAAATATCATTAATAATTTTTAGTTATTTTCATCTACAAAGTTAAATCGTTCATTTTAATTTTAAAGGAAAAATATGTTTCTTTTTACAACTAATAAGCAACTTTATTACATATATATAATTTTGATGATCTTCAAAGAAAAAGATAATACATGAAATACGCAGAAACGTTTTTGAATAATACATTAATTTGAGAAATACTTTACATTTACAGAAGAATTGCGAAATGGAAATATAAAAGAACTTGGGTTATAATAATATTCTTGTACTCCCCTGTGCTATGTTTAACGATTGTATTTCAATGCCAGACCCTTTGAATTAAATTTGCA